AGAATTAAAAATTTTATTTTGAAAAAATAATTTATTAATATTTATTTGATGTACCAATCTTTTTGTACCGGACCATACCTATCTTTAATCTTATTATAATCATAATCTAATATTTATTATATTTATATCTTTGATTAGTCTTTTTCATTTATAATTAATAATATCTTTATATCTTATTCTGGCCAAATATTATATATTTACAAAATAATCTTTTCAAGAGCATCAAAAATGATAACAATATTAAACAAAGAAAAGTATAAAGCAAAAAAAATGTATCTATATTTTACAAATATTTGAATAATTTATTAGACTCTTTATTTTTACTATAATTTTATCTTCTCTTGCATTAGATATTATTCAATATAACAATCTTCATATAATAATAACATCTGTTACAGAAGAATCTATCTTCTTATCATTATTATCTGACTACTCTATGTCTGATTTAGAAGTTCTCTTTCTTGATAATCTAAAATATTTACAATGAATAATATCATTTCTCAAGAAGCTACTAGTGGTCCGGTGAGGGACGTCAAATGGTACCGCCAGCTTGGTGGAACACCGGTAACTTTCACCCCAAAGCTAAGTGGAATGAGGCGACTTCGACGACTCGATATTTTATAAGCTAGTGGCTGATACCGGCTGTTATTTATCGTCAAGTTTACCATACGAACTCAAGACTGATGTGTCGCTTGATGAGTATATTTTTCGGACAGATAAACATAATGTGAAGGGTCTTTGGGAATGGGAGAATGGAACCGTTCGTGTTATCGAACTTCCTTCAAAATTTCACGAGATTTACGTCGGTACTATAATGAAGTTTTTAGGCGCATCAGTTCTTCCCGTAGCGAGCACTAATTCTGATCTTATTTTCTATGGCGCGACGAGTGAGTGTTTTGTTGGTTTTTATGCTACTGTATTCTAGGTATGTTTCTATTACTCACCATCTTTGACTAATAGCAACAAGAAAGGCTGTGAAGCGGATGGGTCTATTATACCTGTAGGAAAACCTCAAGTGTCCCACGGTGGATCTGATGGAGGAGTACGAAGAGTTCGTTCGCTCTCTAATGTGAATATGTTGAGAATTCTAATGTTGCTGGCGACATGTACTCTTAGAATGAACCCTGGCCCAACCTTGTAATAGAGGTCGCTTATGCCGTAACCGAGGCGGAACTTAAGAGGAAAATAGAGACTTACTGGCTCGCACCTAATAGAGCTCACGATGCAATGGGCATCAAGCTAAACTATACACCGGGCGTGCGTCCAACGATAAGTAATGACATGAGGATTTAATTTCTGGCATTTGCCATTAGCATCATTTAAATGATACATATTTATTCTTTAATAGGGTAACAGTCGATAACTCGCCAGCCAGTAAGAGGGCTAGGATCAAAAAATTTACCGAAGAATAACGGGTAGATAGATTTCCCGCTTCACAGTTGGTGCATTCGCCCCCATCATGGTACGTTATATTATTACGTGCTTTTTTACCACAGATTGAATGAATCTAATGTATTCTCAATTCAGTATGAATTCGGCACAGTTGACCGTCAAGACAATCCCATCAACATTGCACCGGGGCAATGCGTGATCAATATCCCATTGAGATGCCTTTATGATGGGATGCCACCTACCTTCATGATTCCTTCACCCCCTCTACCTGACCCTATTCCCCTCGATCTCTTTCATGTTCGGTGGGCTGTTTTAAATCGTTAATTTGAGGTCATACTGTACGACTCCTATTCTCTTATTCCGTGGCGCTATTTTTTTAATACTACATTCTAGTTCTTGGAAAGCCATTTCCCACCTTGCCACATTTCTACGTAAACATACAGAATTTTTAAATAAAATGGACGAGACTATTCTCTATGCAGTTTCACTAGATCCAACCATTTTATTGTATTAACCAGACTCGAAAAATTAAAGATAGATTTTAATGACCCTTTAATCTCACTTGTTCGGAAGGTGCTATTTATCAATTTGCAAATCGGTGCCACGTGATAGATAATGATTTTTATTTTTTCCGATCGATCGCCAGTTCGTATTGCACAGCCCGATATGTCTTACGGATAAATCGACGCGATATTTTTACTTCGCATATCAGAAATCTGCGCCAGGTTTTGTCGATCATTAGTCGGATGTGGTGTTCGATCACCAGCCCGAATTATTAGTCGCAGTAAATTTTGTAT